AAATACCCATCCTCTGAGCATGTGTATAGGCAGCCTTAGTGGGCGAGTTCATAAGGACGAAATTCCACACATGGTCACATCTGGATTTGTTAAAAAGATCTAGAAGTTCTTTGAGTTGGGTGAGGTAGAGGTGAAGATGGGAGGATCCTACAGTCAGTTGGCTTGGCTCTTTGTGTCTGGTGCAGTGAGGAAGATGCTGTGGAGTGGGAAGGCAAAATGATTCAACTTTTCTGCCCAGGTTGTATTATTCAATTGCTTTGAGCCTGTCCTGCTTCTTGATTCCCACCCTTTGTGCTTGTGGGGTGGAGTGTGAGTGCTTCATTCCCACAGATGGGGGTGGGGAGAGCAAGAAAATGAAGAGGCAAAGGAAGAAGCCCATCCATTACCTCTTGTTCTAGAAGTCCTTTTCACTTGGTTACTCAGGTCCAGAGCAGGCGCGATCAGAGAGAGCCAGCCCAGGCAGAGACCATTCAGACCTTACTGGAGACCCTCCCACCAAGGACCAGGACTTCTCTAAAGAATCCAGACATGATGTATCCTTTTGCAGGTTGTGCATCTTTGGCAGGTGACTTTGGTGTGGTGGCCTGGACAACTGTAGTTAGCTTAATTATAGGACAAAGGGAGTGACAAGGTGCCAGAGGGCTGGAAAAGGGCCAATGTGGTCCCCATTTTCAAAAAAGGGAGGAAGGAAGCCCCAAGAAACTACAGGCCCGTTAGTCTTACCTCGGTCCTGGGGAAGCTCCTTGAGAACATTATCCAGGAGCACATCTGCGAGGGACCAGCAGGGGAGATCATGCTTAGGGGCAACCAACATGGGTTCATTTGAGGCAGGTCCTGTCAGACCAACCTGGTGGCCTTCTACGACCAAGTCACAAAATCCTTGGACACAGGTGTCATGGTGGACATAGTCTTTCTGGACTTCAGGAAGGCCTTCAACACTGTCTCTCACCCCATTCTCATTAACAAATTGGGCAACTGTGGCATGGATGCCTACACAGTCCAATGGGTTGTTAACTGGCTGGAGGGCTGCAACCAGAGAGTGTGGTGGATGGGTCTTTTTCGACCTGGAGGGATGTGGGCAGTGGGGTCCCCCAGGGCTCGGTCCTCAGGCCTGCACTGTTCAACATCTTCATCAGTGACTTGGACGAGGGGTTGAAAAGCACCTTGTTCAAATTTGTGGATGACACTAAAATGTGGGGAGAAGTGGACACGCTGGAGGAGAGGGAGAGGCTGCAACTAGATCTAGACAGGTTATAGGGGTGGGCAGATGAGAACAGGATGGGATTCAATACTGACAAGTGCAAGGTACTGCACCTGGGGAGGAAGAACCAGCAGCATACCTACAGGCTTTGGGACTCCCTTCCGGTCAGCACCGAGGGCGGGTCAGCACAGAGGCAGAAAAGGATCTTGGTGTCATTATTGATTCCAAAATGAACATAGGCTGCCAATGTGGGGACGCGGTCAGCAAGGCTAACCGCACCTTGTCATGCATCCACAGATGCATCATGAGCAGGTCCAAGGAGGTGATCCTCCCCCTCTATGCGACATTGGTCAGCCCGCAGTTGGAGTACTGTGCCCAGTTCTGGGCGCTGCACTTCAGGAGGGATCTGGAGAACATTGAGAGGGTCCAGAGGAGGGCCACTCGTATGATCAGGGGGCAGCAAGGCAGGCCCTACAAGCAGAGGCAATGGGACCTGAACCTGTTCAGCCTCCACAAGAGAAGGCTGAGAGGGTATCTGGTGACCATCTACAAATAGGCCAAGGGGGACCAGAAGGCTATGGGAGAGTTCCTGTTCCCCTGAGCACTACCAGGAGTAACGAGGAATAACGGCCATAAGTTGACCGAGCGTAGATTCAGGTTAGATATCAGGAGGCACTATTTCACGGTCAAGGCGGCTAGGATCTGGAACCAACTTCCAAGGGAAGTGGTGCTTGCTTCTACCCAGGGATGTCTGACAGAATAAGCACAAGTCTAGGAGCAGTAAGGTTTGCCCTGGCAGAGGCTCCCACCAAGGGTGAGCAATTTACTTAAATTCTTACGTCTGCCTCAGCACTTTCACTGCTATCTCATGGTGATGCTTGCTTGCCTTTCCCTCAGGAGTGGCACAGAGATAGCTGAATGCTTGTACTTGGAAGACAACAAACCCTAAGAAAACACTAACTACCAGACCCGGTGAAAAGGGCAGCAGGCATGTCTGGTGACTCTGCCAAGCAGCACCCCTGCTCTGCCTTAACTAGAAGCAGAGGAGATGGACCCTACTACTGGCTGCAGCCTTCCCAGCCAAAGGGATGGGTTGCCCCTAGTCTTGACTGTGAAGAATAAATGAGTGAGCCTAGAGTTACCTGCCTAGTTAAGTGATGACTCTTCTGTCTGGTTTTACCTTTTTGGTTTGTTTGTGCAGCACTGTCTCAGCTACTTAATGCCTCTGGGGACAGACCTCTTGACCCTGCAGGGGACTCTGCTCATAGTAGATGATGCTGTTATGAGTCATATGCACTACAATATTTGCAAGGAATGTCTTTCACCTTTGAAGATCACATGGGAACAAATCCCCAAATATGTCTTTTCAGTAAACTCTGTCTGGTTAGTAATCAGCACCCACTGACTGGTAGGCACAACCTTGGGGGTATTCCTGCCAGACTGCTCCATGCTGGGAGCTCAGGTTTGTACTAGAGTAGAAGTTGTCAACCTGGAGACTCTGTGGGGATTTCCTGCAATTCTTTTCTGTGTTTATGTGCATGGAGGAGGGAATGAGTGACTTGAAGGGATATCCTGTGGTCTTGCTAAGGCAGCTCCCTTTTTCCTTTTTAAAAAAAAAGTGGTCTTCAGCTACCGGAGGGTCTCTGAATTTGTTTTTAAAAAGGGATTCTGGATGCATTTGAAGGTGGGGTGTGTGTGTGGGGGGGTGGTCTGAAAGTAGGCTTTCCTGCACAGTTCATTTTGTTTTTTATTCATGACACTGATGTCAGATGCCTGGGAGGAGTGGCAGTCTCTCTCTCACACGTCAGAGACTGATATAAGAGGCGGGACATACAGATAATTGAGAAATAGGGAACAGATGGAATAAAAGACCATTTCTAACTTCCTTGCCAGGCAGTGGTTTGGAGAAGGCTTATAACAGGAGTGATTTCTAGCCTGCTTTTGAAAGCTGTTTGTTCTGTTGTTGGAAAGCAACCACAAAATAAAATTTTGGAATGTCCCTCTCTCTATTTGTTGGCAGTGACTTTGCAGGAGCCATGTAGCACAGACTCACATCTATCAGTGCACATTTATCTTGCCAACAGCACTAACTCCACATTGTGCAGCCCTGTCAAGGGACAGGTTCTTATTGGTGTGCTGCTGCCCTTTCACACTCAAGCTGCTTGCGCCTTTTTTGGCTGATGAAGGTACTTGATACTACTGTACTTCCCGAGTGGCTCTGGGTGAGCGCTGTCAGCTTGTAGTACAGCAGTGGCTAAAGTAGATTGGGACAGGAGAGAGAGCTCTCAGCGTGACCAAGGAGAGAAGGGGATCTTGGCATGAGACTTGTCTTACCCAAGCCAGTGTGGGAAGGAAGTTAAGAGGCTTCCTTCTGCTTTTAGCAGGGAACTGGTTAACTCTGCCCTGGAGTCTCCTGTTGGAGCCTCTTGTTTCCTCTTGATAAGAGGAATTAAAAAGAAGAGTTCTCTGCCTATGTATCACTTGTTCTTCAGAACTGTGGTGACATGGGAACCTGTTATGATCTCCTAAAGGTACCATGTACTCCATGCATGCTTGTTTCCTGTGACCTTCCACTGACTATAAAGTTGACTGCAGCCTCAAGCTGCCACCACTTGGCACAGACAAAGGTTGTTCTAGAAGGTCCCCATCCATTGTATCCCCTCTTCTCATCCATGTGCACCTTGGAGCCCACATCCTCAACCTACTATCACAATGCCATCTTTCAAAGTGTGGCCTTAGTCACAAGTGAAACCTTTGCTACTGCTTCAGGTCTCTAAAACTCTCCCTTCCACCTTCTTGTTCACTGACCGCCTCATCTGAGATGTAGGGACACAAGAAGCACCCTTTTCCTGCTGCCTGCAGCTGGTACCCCATGGCCACCAGACCTAAGGGGTGAGTCTTTGAAGCAGGGGTAGATCCAGGGGGGCTGCACTAGTGCAGCTGCACTTCCCTTTTGATTCCTGCTCCACCCAAAGTTTAAAACCACTGTCTGGCAGTGGCAGAAGTATTTCTAGTCAGGCTGCAATGAGGGAGTTGCTTGACTGCAGGGCTCATTATCATCTACCCGCTTCCTTCTAAGCTCTTCATTCCACAGGTGATGATGATATTTCCTTGTTAATGGTCTTGCTGTTGCTAGCCTTTCTTCTGTCATTCTGCTGCCTGTTCACTGCTCCTGGATGCGAAACTCCTGTTTCACAGCCCCACAGATTTGTTTTAGTATTTTACTGGAATGAATTCAATTTATTTGTCAGTCTTAAGCTGAATAGTGCAGCCCTTAGCCCCGGCAGAAGAGGAAAGCCTCTAGTTTTTTTCACTTGGAGAAAAAAAACGTGTTGCATTATATGCAATGAGGCATCTCACCCTCTGCCACCCCGCTTTTCTTAACATCCTAGATCAGCCCATGCTTCTGTCTCCCCTTCAACCACTGGCCTGACTTGGCTGAGATGCTGTAGCTCTCCATGGTGAGGCCTTTTTAAGGCCTCAGTCCCACAGAGCCTAGTATAGATGGCAAACTCTGTGAGCCAGTCAGAATCAGAGCTGTAGGGCTGGAAGGGACCTCAGGAGGTCACCCAGCTCAACCCCCTGCTCCAAGCAGGACCAGTCCCAACTATCTCAGCCCAGCCAAGGCTTTGTCTAGCCAGGGCTTAAGAACCTCCAAGGCCGGAGATTGCACCACCTCTGGGCAACCTGTTCCAGTGCTTTACTACCCTCCGCGTGAGAAAGTCTGTCCTAATATCTAATCCAAATCTCCCTTGCTACAACTTGAAACCATTGTTCCTTGTTCTGTCACCTGCTGAGAACAGCCCAGCTCCATCCTCTCTGGATTCCCCCTTCATGGAGCTGGAGGCCGCTATCAAATCCCCCTCCCCTCACTCTTCTCTTCTCCACACGAAATAAGCTCAGTTCCCTCAGCCGCTCCTCAGAAGTCATGTCCCCCAGCCTCTGACCCCTTTGTTGCCCCCTGCTGGACTGTCTCCAACCTCTAGAGGCGGGCAAGCCTGGACGCAGGACTCCGGATGTGGCCTCAGAAAAGAGGGGAAGACTGCTGGCAGCGCCCTCCTCCTTCCGGGCCTTTTGGGACACTCCTGCCCCACGGAAGCGGAGCTTTGCCCCCAGGCCGGGGGTTGCGGGTCCCAG